AAATACCCATAGTGTAGCTTCCAGAGTCACAGCAAACTGCAAGTCACCACAGTATGACAAACTGACAGATGAGTGGTGGTACCAGGGGGCTTCAAGAAGTTCATGGGAAGGGGAATTTTCCCACAAACTTTTGGAAGCCCCCTTGTATATCTAAATACTTTTCAATATCCCAGTTTGGAGTTTCACTATCACCTAAACTTACACGTCTAAACGCAAACTTATGTTTTTACCTAAACTGAATTTCCCTCCAAACATTACAATTTCCGTTATTACTACCATCTTTAAACCAATCATACAAGTTTCACACCTTGGAGTCATCTCCCCTTCAAGTCAATAACAATTAATTCCTACAACACCACCCCACACCAGCACCCCCAGTTTAATGCTAGTCTAGATTTGTTTAATCTCTTCAGTATACCTATGTAGCCTTAATTTTCTCTCATTATTCAGGACTAAGGAGCTCTGGTAGCATAGTGGTTATGAATCGGGCTATGAACCGCAAGGTCAGCAGTTTGAAACTACCAGCTGTTCTGCGGGAGAAAGATGAGGCTTTCTGCTCCCGTAAAGATTTACAGCCTTAGAAACCCTGTACAGGGTCGCTATGAGTAGGAACTGACTTGACTGCACTTAACAACAACACAACATTCAGGGCTAGGATCAGAGCCTGAATGTAAGCAAGGCAGAGATCTGAGGTCCTGGCCAGTATCAGGGTCAGATGGACTCTCTCATTGCAGCACTGAAGTATCTATCCTGTTGTTATTCAGTGCCATCAAGTCACTTCAAACTCATAGCGACCCTGTTTTCAAGGAGCAGCCGGTGGGTTTGAAATGCTAACCTTGTGGTTCCCAGTCCAATACTAATCGTACAGCACTACACTAGGAGTAAGCCAATTGGCATGGTTGTGTTCCAATAAAACTTTATTTATAAAATGGGAGCTGGCCAGATTTGGAGTCCTGGTGTGGCGCTATGGGCTAATGCGCTAGACTGCAAAGTCGGTTTGAACCACAAGGTTGGTGGTTCAAGCTTATCAGTTGCTCTTTGGAAACCCTATTATACAGTATCGCTATGGGTTGGAACCATCTCACTGACACTTAACAACAACAATCCAAATTTGCCCCCAAGGATCATGGCTATCATTTGTTGGTGTCTAGTCTATAGGTAATGGTGGTGGTGTGCTGTGGAGTTGGTTCCGACTCATAAGGACCCTGTGTAGGGTTTTCTGAGGCTTTATATCTTTACGGGAGCAGAACGCCTCATCTTTTTCTCATGGAATGGATGGTAGTTTTGAACTGCTGACCTTGAGGTTAGCAGCCCAACTTGTAACCACTAGCTACCCAAGCTCCTTCTGGTCTATAGGACCAAGTCTTAACTCCTTCCTTTAGCATGTAAGGCCTTTCCTGAATGAGTCCCTGCCTCGACAGAGTTATCTCTTATTGTTGCTGTAGATATATGGTCTATGTGTGCATCTGGCAAATCATAATAATCCAAAATAATGAGCTGATATAGTTCAACAACCAAAAAAGACAACACAACTTAAAAATATACAAAGGGCTTGCATAGATATTTCTGTAAAAGATACACAAATGGCCAATAAGTGTATGAAAAGATAGTCAGTACCATTATTCAGTACCATTATTCATGTGGAAACTGTAATCAAAACCACATAAACATCACTTCACACGCACTAGGATTGCTGTAATTAAAAAATAATCAAACTTCAAAGAAACATTTGTATCTCAGAGAGAATATGGATAAATTGGAACCTTCATACATAACTGATAGGATATAGAAAATAGCTTAGCAGCTCCCTGAAAAGTTAAATATAGAGTTACCTTATGACCCTTGCACACAAAAACATCATACTAGCTCAAAACTAGAAACAACCCAACTTCCCATCAGCTAATGAATGTATAAATAAAATGTGATACAGCTGTACAATGGGACATTACTCGGCCATAAAGGGATGCAGTACTGATACATGATACAATACAGATGAAGCTTGAAAGGACTGTGCTCAAAGAAAAAATCCAGAATAGGCAAAACCGTAGAGACTAAAAGTAGAAGTAGATTTCTGCTTGCCAGGGGTAGGTAGTGGATTATGAGCTGGCTGCTGTTAATCACAAGGTCAGCAGTTCGAATCCACTAGCTGCCCCACAGGAAGAAGAAGTTTTCTTGCTCTTATAAAGATTTACAGCCTTGGAAATGCTATACAGGTGTAGCTATGTATCAGAACTAACTCCATGTCACACAACCACCATCAGAGGCTGGGAGCAAGCAAGAATGGAAGTCACTGCTAATGGGTGTGGAATTTCTAATTTTATGATTCAATGTTCTGGAATTACATAGTAGTAATGGTGCTCTGGTAGCATAGTGGTTACAAATCGGGCTGTGAACCGCAAGGTCAGCAGTTCGAAACTACCAGCGGTTCCGCGGGAGAAAGATGAGGCGGTCTGCTCCCGTAAAGATTAACAGCCTTGGAAACCCTGTGTAGGGTCGCTATGAGTCAGAACCAACTCCACGGCACTTAACAACAACAACAATGGTGGCATAGCCCTGTTACAATACCGAAAAGTACTAATGTTGAAGTCATAGTTATGGGAAATTATATTGTAAAGAAAGAGAAGAAGTCAGAGTCAAACGTGATCAATCCTTTAGCTGCTGGAGATTCCTGCCACACCATTCTGAAGGCAAGAGGAAAGTGTTACAGAACAACATCGTCAACAAACCCCAAATCAAACAAAGCAATGAAAGCTTCAGGAATCCTCATCAGAAGAACTAGAATTTGCTGAATTGCAACCTAGAAGAGCAGAAGAAATAGCCCTCTAACTTTTCGATACCATCTGATACTAACTGTGGGTTAATACACTGGATTGCAAAGTCAGTTTAAACCTCAAGGTCAACAGTTCAAGCTCACCAGCTGCTCCTCAGAAACCCTGTGCCAGGGTCACTATGGATCAGAACCGACTGTAGGGCACTTAACAACAACAAAGCAAAGGCTTAAAGGGTAAACAAGCTGCTGCTGTCATCAACTTGGAAGCACAAAGGAGTCTTGTTTTGAATTCTTCCTGTTTTGGACAAGAGAACAAGGCAGAAAGGAAAGGTCATGTTCTTGACACATAAAACAAATCATCTTTTCCCATAGATTACTTCTCTACATCTTTTAAGATACCTAACAGGTTCCCTTTAAAGGCAAATCCAGAGGCAGTTGTTGTGAAGTGCCGTCGAGTCGATTCTGACCCATAGCGACCCTGTATAGGGTTTCCAAGGAGTAGATGGTGAGCTTGAACCGCCAACCTTGCAGTTCAGACGCTTTGCAGTCTGACACATTAACCCACAGCACCACACCAGGAGCCGTAAGGAAATACACATTTGCCTGAAAGTCTGGCTCTCTGGACAGCCAGACAGGACCTGATCTAGCCGCCTGCTGCCCTGGGGAATGCTTCCCATGGCCCCCTGTGTGGAGAACAAATGTTCCCAGGTAAGGAGCTCTGGTAGCATAGTGGTTACGAATTGGGCTGTGAACCTTAAGGTCAGCGGTTTGAAACTACCAGCCGTTCCGCGGGAGAAAGATAAGGCTTTCTACTCTCGTAAAGATTTACACCCTCGGAAACCCTGTTACAGGGTCGCTATGGGTCGGAACCGACTCGATGGCACTTAACAACAACAAAAAAAAAATGAGATGCCAACAGTAGAGAAGAGGCACTGCTCTTAAGGGTCATCTCTTTTAAGGTTCTTTCCACGTCATCTTCATCTTCTATCAAGTACTCTTATTTGACATTGCCCCTTTCAAAATGTGTCATTTAGGCTTGGAGAGATCTGCATATTTAACCTTTGTGGTTTGGTGCTGTAGGATAAACACTGGACTGCCAGCTCCAAGGCCCATGGTTCAAACCCACCAGCCACTCCTTGGCGATCCTACACAGGGTTGGTATCAGTTGGAACCAACTCAAGGGCACTTAGCAACAACAACAACAAGTGTACTTTTATAGACAGTTTGTGTGGTTTCATTTGTCAGCTTAAGTGTGACCAAGTGTCATTTGTAAGTTTGTTTGCTTTGCTAGAAAATCCGTTACTGGCACTAATAAGATAGTGTGTTACGCTTCGCTTAGAAAACTTAAGACCATTTCCAAATTGGTGGCCTACTTTTTTTGTACATATAAAATAGGAGTAATGCAGGGGGCTTCAAAAAGTTCCTGAAAAAATTTCATTCCATTTTTACACAAACTTTTTGAAATTCCCTCATACTTTGGATTTCTGAAGAATTAAATAAATTGCTAAGGACATGGGTTTTGGTTGTTTCAGAGTATTTCCAAACATATTTGTGGCTGTGGAATATAGTTTATTTCACATGTTTGTTCTATGTTCATTATGTCTTCAACCTCATTTTAACTCATTTTCAATTTGGATACCCATTCTGGATCAGTTCTTAATAGTGATGTTCAAGCTTCGATAATAAATTAGTATTTATTGTCCATATTTTACAAAGGAAGAAAAGCAAGGCACATAGAATTTTACTTTTTTACAGTAAATCACTTATGACTCCTTGGATCCTGAATGGAATTGACTCTCTCTAAATACACTTTTTAGTTGCAGGGGCATATCACAGCCCAACTGACCTGTCTGCTGAATTGTAGGACTCCTTTGAGTCCCATTTGAAATCACTGCTCTTTTTAATTTTATTTAGAATTTATCAGATAAGATTTTATAAAATAATCCAAATGTTTTCAGAAATATAATGCTTTCATTATATAATAAAATATTTTACATGGTTTTTATGAGTTTTATTTTTATTTAAAAGCAAATGATGGGTTCTTTACCAAGAAATCTAGAGGGACTCAATGTGTTTTACGTGACTGTCAGAATTTTCCTAAAGAGCTGCAAATGGAAACATTTCTAAACTATATCTTGCAAATACTCAGAATGATGATGGGAATTATATTTATGGTTTCATAAAACAGAAAGGTAGAATGTTTTAATTTATTGTCTTTTTTTCACTTTAGGGTTTAATGAAGAAATTCATCCGATGTTCTACACGTGTAACTGTGGGAACTATTAAAAAATTCTTAAGTTTAAAACTAAAACTTCCAAGTTCTTATGAGGTAAGTTATATAATATCTGACCTTAAATCTATTGATAATTCTGATCTTTAGTAAAATTCTAATGAAATAAGAGAACACTAATTGATATTTGGTTTTTATAGAAATGTCATTTTCATATTAAGATTTTAATCTTTCAAATATATTTTGTTGATGAAATGTGTACTTTCTGAGTTAGCATATCTTAGTAAAACAGAATACTAATGCATTGATATTTTATAATTAGAGGAGATATTTATAGCATTAAATGTTCCTAAAATACATATATTAGCTAAATTTAGGATTGCTTTATTAAATGCCAACATGCTTTAGGATGTAATTTTTTAATCTGAGACCCTATATAGTTCCATTATAACCAAGTCTTTTTAGATTTTTTATTTATAGTGTAAAATTTGCCTCTATCAAAAGGAATTTGATGAATCCTACAGTTCTAAAATATGTAAAAGTGATACTATTTTTCATTATCTAAAATTGATATTTGCATAAATATCAATTACATAAATGCAATTTACCAGTTTCTTAATAGCAGAAAAAAATATTCCCTGACGTGGACGACTGCACAGTTTGTAACATGTTCAGTGTTTACAACTCTAAGGCCTCGTCTATAATGTAGTGCAGAAATATAGGTACCATCTCACAACTTTTATTAATTTCCTGTTTCTCCACTTTGGGTTTTGATAGCAGCATCTAGCAAATAAAACGACCAGTTTTTGATATAAATGAAAACATTGAAAGCTTATATATAGTTAATATTAATGAGGAGAAGCATCAAAGGAAAAATCAAATGTAATCTAGATTTTGCCCACAGATATTGACAGGTTTAAGTCTGTACTGTCAGTACACATTTACTTCATCTATTAAAAAATTGTTCTCAGATGAGCTAATTGGTGGTGGTATTGTTTTGTGCCATCAAATTGGTTCTGACTCATAGCAACTCTCTGTATAGAGTTTCCGAGGGGAGCGGCTGGTGAGCTTGAACTGCAGACTCTGCAGCTCAGCACATTACCCCTCAGCACCACACCCGAACTCCAGTTCATATATGCATCCAAAATTAATTTTTTTTATGGTTTGGATGTACCAAATACAAGCCAATATCCAGAGATACGGACTTGAAAATTTTTGTTTTATTGTTGTGGTAAGACCACTGACATTAATTCTTTTCATTATATTACTACTCTCCTCAAAATTATTCTACCACTATTAACAGTAACTCCGTGTTCCCTAAATAATGACTCCCTGTTGCTCCCTCCCTTACACTCTTGGTTACCAATAATAAGCTTTGGTCTCTGTATTTGCCTATTTCATATAAGTGGGATCAGAAGTTCGTTGTCCTTGGTGACTGACATACGTCACTAAGCCTAATGTTTTCAAGGTACATCCATCAAGACTTCATTTCTCTTTATGGCTGAGTAATAGTCCATTGTAATTTATGAACCACATTTTGTTCTTCCATTCATCTATTAATGAACATTTCGTTTATATCCACCTTTTGGCTTTTGTGAATACTGCCTGCATGAACACTGATGTACAAGTGATGTTTTTGTTTTAGGAAAAATCTGTAGAAGTTAAATAATAACAATTTATAGATAATAGCTAGAGTCAAAAATAGAAAATGGCATTGTCTTTTGGGTTGGTTTGTGATTTTATTTCCTTTTTAATAGCCTGACTCACTGATTTACCATTTTCTACTTTTCTGGACATTGGTAGAGTTAAGAAAACAATTACTCTTGTACAGTGTTACTGCTATATTATGGCTGTTTACATAAAAAGACAGAAAGGGAAGAAATTCAACCCACTGACAGCTCCGTATCTACCACAATCTTCCCTATAATTTTCAGGAATATCTATGGTTCCTCCCTGCCTTTATGACCAACGTGTCAGGTGATTTAATGGAATAACTAACAGCTGAAATTGCTGTAACAGCACCATTATTTGGGGGAAGGACAAACACTCTATACCTGATGAGTAGTGGCTGCCTCAGTTCCTTTACTTCTTTGCTTATGAGTTTTATAGGCAAAGTAAAGAAAATAAAATGATCTACTTTGTTCTTTTAAGAGCTAATGAAGTTATCCAAAAACATTTTGAGGTCCATATGAGTAATCATAAATCAACCAAACAGTTCAGTATACTTTACTAAGTATGTCTAATAGAATTAGAAATATGCTTAAAGCTCACAATTCTGGTGTCTGTCTAGCCAGATACAGAATTATTTAAAGTCCTTACTCTACTTCTCCCTGTGCACGCTTTAAAGGAGCTCTGGTAGTATAGTGTTTACAAGTTGGACTCCTTTCAGTTGGCTTTTAATAGCTAGAGTACTGAAATATCACCTTATTTGTAGCTATTATAAACATTGTAAATTATGCTTTGTTAAATTAGTAAATCATTCATAACCACAGTTCCTGTGGCCTTCCTTAAGGATTGTTACAGTTGCTTCTTCGATCCTGCATCTTTAGAGCAAGAATTAGCATTGATAAGCAAACCTTGTTTTGCAATTCAATTAAGATGAGAAGAGGATACTACCAAGTGTTTGTCCAAGCTAGCAAACAAGCCAGAGAAGCTAGGAAGCCCTTGGAAACAAGACCTGTAACACAGTCCTGGCTGTCCAGTCAACTTAGCGATGGGGTTAGGCCCTTAGCACTGCTGCAGCGTTAAGCACTTGGCTGTTAACCAGAGGGGTCGGTGGTTCAAGCCCACCAGCTGCTCCACAGGAGAGAGATGAAGCATTCTGCTTCTGAAAGATGTACAGCCTTGGGAACTGTTTTGCTTTGTCCTGTGGGGTCACTATAAAGAGAAGTTAATTCAGCTTTAGTGGTGAAGCTAATTATAGGAAATTCATGTTGTTAGGCCACTGATTCGGAACGGACTCCATAGCACCTCACAACATGAGTCAGAATTGACTTGACAACAACTGCAGGCTCTGTAACTGTGTTCATTCAAATCCGAAGTAATGAGAAGAAAGCAACTTCTCCAAATATTGGGAAGATGAGAGGATTCTGAGATGAATTCATAAGCCAAGGAAGCATCTGAGTTTTCGACAGTTTTTTCTCATTCAGTAAGGGATTATTGTAAAGTACCATCGAGTCAGTTTTGACATGTAGCGACCCTGTGTAGGGTTTCCAATGAGTGGCTGGTGAGTTTGAACTGCTGACCTTGCAGTCCAATGCTTATCCTACAGTCACTCCTATCAGTAGTCAGGGATAGTCGGAGATAAAGGTCTGAAACCTTTACACAGAGACAGCCTTAACATTGCTTTTCAAAATGATGAACTTGAGGTTAGGTATGTATACAGTGCTTCATGATACTTACACACCTGAATTGTTGAACTTCTTTTCATGAAAATGTTCAAACACTATTCTTTTTAAATGGTGGATGGTACTTCTGTTTTCTTATAAGTATTTGAATCGTTTTTGAAATTTGAAAGAAAATGACTTCAAAATTATTCTTGCTAATGGATTTGTGCCTCTTCTTTTTAAAGTTGGATGTGCTCTGTAATGGTGAGATCATGGGGAAGGATCACACTATGGAATTCATCTATATGACACGATGGCGACTAAGAGGCGAAAACGTAAATTGTTTTTATATTCACTTTTTTGTCTATTTACCTTCCCACCAGTATGCTGCTCAAATTTAGCAATATAACTTAAAATCTAAACAGCAAGCTAGCTTGGGAAAGAGAAGAAACTTGTTCCCCTTTTGATTGTGTGTCTCCCAAATAGAAGGCCAAGGTTTGTGTTAAATGTGGTTTTATTATATTTAAAGTGAGTTTAAAGTCCCATTTTAAATACGTAAATATGTTCAAAATTACTAACCTCAAACCAGAGATGATAGAACTTTCAGTAATTAAGTGAAGGTGGTAAAAGACTGAATTCTGGTCTGACTGCTTTGATGGTTGATAAGAGTTAGTTTTTAGATGTGAGCGACAGGACAAATTAGGGTAGAATCTAGGGAATCTGTTTTTTCAGGTACCCCCCTTTATATACAATTGGACAAGTGAGGAGGGTAAGTGAGTCTCCATTAGTTTCTGATGCCAGCAGAATTAGATTATTATGCCTTAGGCCCTAGACAGTATGGGGGAAATTGTTAAGAGGAGACTGTAGGATAAGCATTGGAACTGTATCTTTGATTAGGGCTCAATGAAGGGTCTAAGACCATCTTACTCGATTTATAAATAACGTGGGAGCTTGCTAAGGGATGGCATTATTAGACTGATCCATCAGAGTATGGAAGCTGATAGGAATGTGCCCAAAATTGCTCTGCACAGTCTGTGTGGACAGTAATACAGATGGACTGGAAGGCTGGCCTAGATGGGGCCTTTCTGACATTTAAGATTCTGTGGTATGTTTGGGACAACATATCATTTCAAATTCTGAATAATTTACATTTGTGTTCTGTAAGCTAGGTTTTTACTACATTTGTGGAAAAAACATAATTCTAAATAAATTTTAAGAAGACCAAGAAATTTACTACACACAAGGATAGGTCACCCAGATTCTAAGTGTAATTGAGGATGGCCATATTAAGATAGTTTAAAACCATACAATGAATGTAATCATCTATGGAACTGTTCTGAAATAAACCTCAGAAAACAATTTTTATGCTAGTAAATTGGTAGGACATTTGGCTATATTTTCAGAAACAAATGTTAGAATTCTAACCAAAGTTAGAATCTTCCTTTTTAATCTATTTTAGTCTTGCTTAGGTAAAGGCTTTCTTATGAGTCTAAATTCTCTAGCCACTTCTGGAACAAGCTCAGATCCAGGAAAAAACAAATCACATTCCAGTACCAGTCACAGCTAGTGGTGTGCCTGTCCACAGCTCACTAGACCTCTTCAGACTCAAATAGTTTCTTAAAAGTTTACACATAATATTACCCTCATTTAATCTTCACATCTATAAAATGGCAGGTACCAAGGATAGATTGCAGAAATAGTAAGAGCTCTCTCTTAGCCAGCATGGTTTGAGAAGTGGATATTGTAATATTACACATAATATATTAATATTGTCTTGAACATTCACAGGTTTCTTGATAGTTGAACATGGTTTAGTGTTCTAGATCACTGTGAATAAATCTGCTTTCAGGTTGAGGGCTTGTAAAAATCATCATGATAAACCTCTGCTAAGGATCATCCTTGTCAAGATGCTAACAATTAATGAAAGAGCTAAGTAAGAAATTTTTATTACATTACTAAACTTCCCATTAAATCAGTTTTTGCTGCAACTATATTTCTGATTACATTGCTCTAAGTTTTTTCTAAGTATTCCAAATTTCTTGGTTCCAAGGCTATACAATCTTTATAGGAGCAGAAAATTTCATCTTTCTCCCTCAGAGAAACGGGTGGATTTGAACTGTGTCATTATAGTGCTCCACTGAATTGCTGTTGTTAAGCGCTGTCAAGTTGGTTCCGACTCATAGTGACCATATACAGAGCTCCCGAGGAGGAACTGGTGGGTTTGAACCACTGACCTTGTAGTTAGTAGCCCAGTACACAGTCACCCCTGAATATAAGGCACAATACTCAATGGGTTATAGTAAAAACAAGTTTGAGGCATGCTCAGTAACATAATACCCTCTGGGGCTGTCATGTCGTTAAGTGCCATCAGTTGGTTCTGACTCATAGTGACTGTGTATAGGGTTTGAACTGCCCACCTTATGGTTCAAAACAGCCTGTGGTCCACTGCACTATCCTACTGAGCGTAACAGGGCTCAGAGCATTTCAATATGCAAATCAGTCCTGCAAGGAGCCCTGGTAGCATAGTGCGTTGGTTAAGGTGTCAGCAGTTCAAATCCATGAGCTGCTCCTGGGAAGAAAATTCTATTCCAGTATAGATTTATGTTGTTGTTAAGTGCTGTGGAGTCGATTGCCACCCATAGCGACCCTGTACAGGGTTTCCGAGGCTGTAAATCTTTACGGGAGGAGAACGCCTCATCTTTCTCCCACGGAACAGCTGGTAGTTTCGAACTGCTGGCCTTAAGGTTCACAGCCCAGTTCGTAACCACTACTTATAGAAAACCCTGTATAGGGTCCCTGTGAGTTGCAGCTGACTTGATGCCGCACCACTGGCACCACCAAAACGAAGTCCTGCAGAATACAAGATCCTTAAACTTGTTTGAATCTGTATTTTCCCAGACTTTTTGTGGAATTCACACTTTAAAATTCCCTTTTAGAAGTACAGTTATATTATGGGTCTTAAAGTACAAGGGATTGCCTCACATAATTGAATCCCCTATCCTACTTTTCCCTTAGATAAATAACGGGTTGTTATTGTTGGTAAGTGCTGTCAAGTAGGTTCTGGCTCCAAGTGACCTAGTGTAGGGTTTCCAAGCAGTGGCTGGTGCTATCCTTACGGTTAGCAGTCCAGTGCTTATCCAACAGGCAAGGTATAATCTAATGAGGAGAGAAGGCCAAATCTTAAATCAGATATAGCTAAGTAATGAATTAATTTATACCCCCATATTTATGGAATCCTCAGAATCTCTATACAGGGTCACTATGAGTCGGAACCAACAAGGCGGCACTAACAACAGCAACATGCTCCTCACCAAGTGTTTGTCTTCACGCCCTGAAGGGTCTTCTACTTTAAAGATAATTGCTTTCATATGGTGCCTTTCTTAATGCCAAAGGTTTGTATCTAATGAAAAGTAGAAGAAGCTACTGGTGATAAAGATAGGAAAGTAAGTAGATAGGGAGGATGGAAAAGAAAGACTTGTGAGGTAATAGTCACAGAGATAAAGGCCCAATATATTATATTCAGTATTGACTGTATTTACTATCAGTTGTTGTTGTTAAGTGCATTCGAGTGGATTCCGACCCATAGTGACCTTGTATGGGGTTTCTGAGGAGCAGCTGGTGAACTTGAACCGCCGACCTTGCAGCCTGGCACATTAACCCACAGCACCACACCAGGACTCCTATTAGTTATTGCTTCATAAATTTCATCATTTACACAATTTTGAAAAGTCTATCTTTTATTCAGAAAAGAACATACTTCCCTAGAAATTCAACAGTGTATCTGTATGTAATACTATGAGTAGATTTCATGTAACTGGGCTGGCCACAGGAAGTGAGAAGGAGGAGAGACTCTTAATTCTAGGATGGGATGATCCCTGCCATCCCAGGTTTAACATGGTAAATGTCAGAATTTTTAGTCTTTTTCTCAGCAACCAGATTTTTTTTAAATTACATTTTAAGTCCATTAAATCATAATTGACTTAAAGTTGACAATATGGATATGCAACTCTAGCAGTATATTTGTAGTCGTCCTGTGTGGTGCAGCCACATAAGCATTAAACCCTACACAGCGTCGCTCTGAGTCTAGCAATAGAAGTATAATGTAAGGCACCCTGGTGGTGTAGCAGTTAAGCAATTGGCTGCAGTTCAGACCCACCAAGAAGCCCCATAGGAGAAAGACCTAGCAAGCTGCTCTCACAAAGATTAAAGCTACGGAAACATCTAGAATTGTTACGAGTTGGAACCGACACAGCGGTTCCCACCAAAAGCATCATTTATTCACATGGTTCTTCATATGCACCTTGCCTGTAAGGATCTGTATTTTAGTTAATCTACTAGTTATGTGTTTGTTGTTTTTAGTTGCCATTGAGTCAGTTCTGACTCATGGCAATTCCATGTGTCTAGAATCTAGGTACTTTTGGGGTTTTTCAAAGCCTGTGACCTTTCGGAAGCAGATCCTCACTCAAACCTGTCAGAATTCCAAGGTGCCTCTGAATGAGTTTGTGACCCACCACCGTTACCCAATAAACAACATTCTTATCAACAGAGAAAAGATTGAAGTTGTCAAGGACTTCATTCTTCTTGGATCAACTATCAACACTCACGGAAGCAGCAGCCAAGAAATCATTAGGCAAATCTGCTACACAAGACCTTTTTAAAGTGTTGAAGAGCAAAGATGTCAGCTTGAGAACTAAGGTGCGTCTGACCCAAGCCATGGTATTTTCAATAACCTCATATGCATGTGAAAGTTGGACAGTAAATAAGGAAGACCATAGAAGAATTGATGCTTTTGAGTTATGGTGTTGCAGGAGAATATTGAAAGTGCCATGGGCTGCCAAAAGAACCAACAGATCTGTGTTGGAAGAAGTGCAGCCAGAGTGCTCCTTGGAGGCCAAGATGGCTAGACTTGTCTCTCATACTTCAGACATCTTATCAGGAGGGACCAGTTGCTGAAGAAGGATATCATGTTTGTTAAGGTGGAGGGTCAGAGAGAAAGAGGAAGAACCCCAACGAGATGGACTGGCCAAGTGGCAGCGTCGATGGACTCAAGCATGGCAACAATAGTGAGGTTAGCCCAATATCGGGCAGTGTTTCATTCTGCTTTGCATAAGATCACTATGAGTCGGTACCAACTTGATGGCACCTAACAACAACAACAACAACAACCTTTAGCAGCAATTGAACCACCACAACCACCGGCAAACAAAACAAAACTTGGAGTGTGGAGAAGAAATATAAATATGTGGGGTAAATCTCAAATAGCATGCGTGGCCTAAATATCAAGTGTGTTTATGTCTACAATTCTGAGGCTTCTCTACAATTTCCTGAAGTCAGATACCTAGGAAATACGGAGTCCTGGTATGGCACTGTAAGATAAGCACTGAACTGCTAACTGCAAGGTCAGCAATTCAAACCCACCAGCTGCTCCTTGGAAGCCCTATATAGAGTCTCTGAGTCAGAGCTGTATTGACAGCACTTAATAATTTTTCTTGGAGTGCAGTTAGCTCCGTATGATTAAGCAGTGGATTGCAAACCACAAGGTCTGCAGTCCAAACCTACCAGCCACTCCATGGGCCAAAGACTAGGCTTTCTGTACCCAAGAAGATTTACAGCCTTGGAAACCCTATACAGGATCTTTTTCATATTCATCACTTGCATGCATCTCTAAAATCTTTGGCGGTTTCACCTTGCAGCTCTGAACACTGCTTGAAAAGGACTTAAATGTTCTTCCACCAAGTCTTGCTTTGGTTTATTTGTGTCATCAGGCAGTTTGAGGGAAAGCAAACATACCCATGTTAATTGACACCAGGAAGACTAATAAATAAATAAAGAAGAACCACTCACTTAGTGAAATTATCTCCACAATGAATGTTGTTCGGAGTTTTCAGAGGAAAAGAAATTGGCGTCAAAGGGCAGCAGTGTTAAACATGTCTTACAGTATGTCGATGAGCCCTGTGCAGAAAATCTGGGATTGATTTCAAGGAAAAAGACCTGCTGAAGTCTTGTGGAGAAATAATTTCTAAAATTGTATTTCAAAGGCTAAACATATATTCCTTTCATTGTTCCTTCCTTAAATCACTTTTAAGATGTACCTTTTAAAAGCTACTCTGGCATGTTAGATTTATCCTGGGTATTCTGTACTTCACATATTTTTAATGTTTTTCATTTTTTCCCGTTTTGAAAAGGTGTGCAGGGTTAGAGGATGCAAAAGTAAACATTTCTTGCTTTATGGCTCCATTATAAAAGTACAATACTGTTTTTATTTAATATACATATTCAGCAAACTATTAAAAAGCAAGACTTGGTGATTGTTTTTAAAAGTAGTGGATTTGCAAATGAATTAGCTCAGGAGTTTAAAGCATTTACTAAGTGGCTGCTCTTTAACAACTCTGGGCCTTAGCTTATTTTAAGACTGCGCTAGTGCTCAGTATAATGTTACTTATAGATACGGAGACTAAGAATCTAATCTGTGCAATATATTAGAATTTAGCCTCAAAGCGGAAACACATCCCTCATAGGCTGAGCAAAGGTCTGTGCCTTTAGAGCTTTGAACTCCTTGAACTAAATTTAAATTGGTCCAGGAAAGGATTATTGGTGCCCCTGTGTAGTCCAAGGTGAGACTCTTTCCCAGGCAGTATTTAGAGAGGAGATGGAAAGGGCAGGCCCATTCCAAATGTTTGCAGAATATTTTAGCAGTCACTGTTCTGAAAACTTTAGCTTTTTGTTGTTGTTGTTGTTTTTCTAAAACCAGCTACCATGTCTTTTTCTTGAAAATTGATCATGTTCATTCTGTTTGACGTTATCATATTTTGAAGTAATCAGTTTTGAATGTGTGTCCAGTTGTGGATGCCTCTTATCTGATGAGTTCGTCTCCTCCGCAGTTTCGGTGTGTGAACTGCTCAGCCTCGCAAGTCTGCCCTCAGGATGGCGCTTCCTATCAGGTAAGAGGCAATCACGGCTGTACATACCGCCAGAGCATTGCTGCCGCGGCACTGGTCTGCTCAGCTCATGTCCCCCTAAAGATGGCTGCTCTGAATGACCCATTTCCTTTTTCTGAAGTCAAAATAGGAAATGGTACACCTTAAGGCCAATATTTATTTATGAGTCAGGAAATTCTAATAATCATTAGTTTCATTCTCTAGGAAATCTCTGGTTCATACTGAATTGGAATACTACCTTCTTTAAGTATTATTTTTTTTAATGAATCGTTCACCCACACGTGAAAGATACAGTGTCAGATTTATTGTTGTTAAGTGCCGTCGAGTCGATTCCGACCCATAGCCACCCTTTATAGGGTTTCCGATGAATGGCTGGTGAGTTTGAAATGCCAACAATAGTTACAGCTATCTGTGGTCCCAATCTCTCCTCTAGGTTCTTTCCTTCTGTTACCTCTTTTAACAATGAAATGACAATGAACTAATTTAATAATGTACTGAGAAAACAAACTTAGATCCCAATGGAAGTTCATCTAATAAAAATACATTTTAAAACTCCAGGAAACAGAAGAGACTAAGGGTAGTATAGTAAGGATCACTAGAGGCTACAAAGATGATCGTTGATCAAACCTTAATCCAGATTTGTATATAATTAATTATTGTTGTTGTTGTTATGTGCCGTGTAGTCGGTTCCGACTCATAGCGACCCTGTACAGGGTTTCTGAGGCTGTAAATCTTTACGGGAGCAGAAAGCCTCATCTTTCTCCCACGGAACGGCTAGTAGTTTCGAACTGCTGACCTTGTGGTTCACAGCCCGATTCGTAACCACTACGCTACCTATAGCAGTTCTTTAAAATTGCCAGTGCTCCTTTATTCTCCAAATTAAGCTCGTCCTCATGCTTATTTCTTTGGAACCAAGAAAAAATAATGGTAATAATATGACAAACTTTACTAGCAAACTTGTTCCAGTATTGCAACTTTAGGGGTCTTCATTTTGAGGCAGGGTGAAATATGTTAATAATTTTTACAAAAGAAAAAACAATCACTAATCAAAATGTCTGCTTAACCGTTTACCTAGACCTAGAGCTCTGGTAGCGTAGTGGTTACGAGTCAGGCTGCCAACCGCAAGGCCAGCAGTTGGAAACTACCAGCTGTTCTGCGGGAGAAAGATGAGGCTTTCTGCTCCCGTAAAGATTTACAGCCTCGGAAACCCTGTGCAGGGTCGCTATGGGTCAGAACCAACTCCACGGTACATAACAACAACAACAACCCTAATTGTACTGATAGTGCTTTCAGTAAGCAAATTTAACATCTATAAAGGAAAAGGAAAAACCATTTAAAAGAACTGATACAATAGTTCTCTTCATATTATTTAGGTTAGAGTTAGGGGTACACACATGGCTGAGATGGTGACATTTGTATAAATCTGCACTTTATGGGTGTCCCAACTGCATCTAGCTTCACAGCTGATTTGGGGATGTATAGTGATACCCCTGCCACCTAATTCTAACTACTGTATGGCCCTTTTTCCTTGTTACCTTGGTTCTGATGTCTATTTTCTGAAAAATTTATTTTCTTAACTCCTAATTGGAGTCCTGGTGTGGTGCTTTAGAATAAGCACTGGGCCGCAACATCGGTTTGAAATTCAAGCCCTGTGATCAGACTCACCAGCCACTTCTCGGAAACCCTGTAACAGGGTCACCATTAGACCCAACCCACTCGACGACACTTAACAACAGTGATAGAAGCTATCACAAGTACTAGAGAACTGAAATAAGAACAAAAATCCCTATAATAACCCTAAAATCAGTACTTTCTAGGGGAAAAAACATTGCATTTTTGTTTTAAGAAAATGTGTGTGCAGCTTTGTACTATTAAAATTTAAATTTCTGTGAACATTTCCTGCAATGAGCAATTCGTCTTACAGGAAAGATCACTCATTAACTCAGAAAAGGTATTTAAAAAAATTTTTTTTAAATTACTAAAGTATTACTTCCTCAAAGGATGCTTAAGTGGTCACATTCTCTCAAACTTCTAAGGAATAGAGAATTCCCCTGCTATGGAAATATTATTTCCAATTTATTTTACAAAGTTAACATTAACATAATCACGATATATCAAGTCCTGAGAACAAACCAACAATTAGGAAACTATTACCAAATAGTATAAAAATATAATGACCAAACAGGGTTTCTATCAGCACTACAAAAGTGACTTAGTAGTAGAAAGATGAAATATATTCACATGGTGCTAACAGAAAGATAGGTGGTTCAATCCTACCAACCGCTCCTAGAAAGCCCTATATATACAGGGGGATCACTATGAATGAGAACCCACTTGACTCCACAAGTCCTAAGACCTGGTTTTGTTACCAGATAACACAAATCTAATACATCCTTTCCCAGTTACCATTTTGCCAAACTTTGCCTCCCCATTGCCCTCTCTCCCTTTTCCTCATTTGTTAATCTCTTGATACATCTTTTGATACATCTTTTGTTTTGTGTTTTATGTGGAACCTTTTGAAAGTAAATTGCAAGTATGAGTTGAATTTTTATTTCCTAGGATCAAAGAACTCCTCGGAGCTAACCAAAATACAGTTAAACACACACAAATTTAGATAATATTTTAAATAGTATAGAAATCCACTAGCCTTCAAAGTTAAATTATGATGCTTCATGCAATTCCAAACACACTTTTACCAGATTCTTATTGAACTTGACAAACTGTCATTCTAAAGTTCATCAAGAAATAGAGAAGCGGGCTTTTTGATCAGTCACATCTTAAAAAAGTAACTGAAGGCCACTGTCACTGTAATGCATGAAAATGTATTTTAAAGCTACTCAAACAGACAGGAATAGCTCAGGAAAAATCTAATATGTATGAATCTACAGATAGTTTTCAAAATAGTGACGAAAGAATTATTTCCACAAATACCCATTGAACACTTGGCTGTGTGCTGGACACTCCGGTGGGTGTCATAGTGACAAAACAAAACAATGTGCGGTCTTGCACCATCCTCTAGGCCCTAGGAATATCGGATTAAAAGTGAATAAAAACCACTTCATGGAGCTTACATTTCTAGGGAATGTAGCAGATGAAAAATAAATAAGAACAGACTGTTTTCTAGAAAATGTTCAAGACAAGGCCTCTTAGAGATGGTGGTTTTGACCAAAAAGAAGTGAGAGAAATAGCCATGTGAATGTCCGGGCTAGAGCACTCGAGGCCCAGAGAACACAGATTGGAGGATGAGGAGTGTCAAGAGTTGGAGTACGGAGACTTGGTGAGGTACAAGGTGGGCATTCAATCCGTAACTCACTCTGTACACCAATATAAATGTCTGATAAAGTGGTAAAAATGTTTCAATGTCGTAAAAGAAAATATAGTTGAGTAGCTGATCTCAGAATGAGGGTAGCTTTTGTCATTGTACTTGTAAAGGACAAATTGACTATTTAATATTGAAAAGTACATGACAAAAGTACCATAACTGAGGAAATATTTGTCAGATTTGAAAGGGAAAGGATTGTCCTTAATCCATCAAAGAAAAGAATTCAAACAAATACATTAAGGAAAAAAACAACTTTCCATAGAAAATTGAACAACAAGAATGATCAGGCAAGTCACAAAAGGAGACACAATGGGCTAGCAAGTATATATAAACGATTCACTTCCTTTAGAAGCCAGAGAGAGGAGAAAGAAGATGCTATGTTATACTTATTAGATTGTCAAATTAAGAGTTAGAAAAATAGATTGCTTGTGATCAGTGAAGCTGTGGAGGAATGGTCCTCATTTCTTTTGGAAATGGAACCATTTTCTTTACAGCCGTTTTGATGGTGCACAATGTGCATGCTCTTTAAACCAATCATTACACTTTTCGTTGCCTGTCATGAGGCATAAAAAATAAGTTAATATGTAATTAAAAAATAAACATAAATGGCAAAAGGAGAAATTTTCTTGTATGTGTAGCTTAATTCCAATTTTGAAAAAAACATTAATGTGGGTAAGAAAGATTGCTGTTGTCAAGTGCTTTGGGGTCAGTTCCAACTCACAACAACCCTGTATAAGGTTTCCAAGGCTGTAAATCCTGGTAGGAGTAGAAGGTCTCATCTTTCTCCTGCGGAACGGCTGGTGGGCTTGAACCACGCTGACCTTGTGATTCACAACCCAGTGCTTAGCTACAGAAAATATCAACCAGAATAGACAGATGTTCACTGAAACTACTGTGATTATATGTAGATCATGAGATTTAATAATTTTCCTTTGTTCTCTTAGTACTTTAAAAAATTTTGTAACAAATCTTCTGCAGTAAAACCCATTTACTTATAAGATAAAAATTAATTTCCTTTTTAAGAAAAAAAGCATCAATCAAAATTAGTTTTGCTATTTTCTAAATTTTTCACATTTGAAATGTATGCATTGGTATTGATTACATGAGGAGACTGAGGAAGGTAACCTTGTAATGGAGCTCTCCATTCAGTTTAACCACTTTCATACTAAGAGGTAGTGATGTACCATATTTTATATGGTAAGCATAATGTCATTATACTTCAGAAAGCGCAGTGTGAAATGTAATACTAGAACTTAGGTATATCTCAATAATTCCTAGTAATATGAAATTAAATAGCAGTATTAAACTTCTTATATAGTGATAGGACAAACACAAATGATTACTGGGGGGAGAGAACAAACCATGTTTCAGTCCAACGGAGAGCATTCCAAAACATATGGTAATGTTAGTCAAGCTCTTCTATGTCCCTCTCCTCCTTCATGCCTGGAAGCATTGTTGATGGATAGATGCTTGTGTGTATTAAGAAGGTACTCTACTCTGAGTGACATTGCTCTTTGCAGAAGGCATGCAGACTAGACAATCGGCAGTGGGTAATAAAGCTAGAAGGATACCACAGTGGGGGATGAATTGGGAGTTTGGAGTGGGGTAGAACGGGCCTCAGTAAAGTTGTGGTCAGATTCTTAGATTTGTAGTCTTTAAATCTTGCTGTGTGGAGTCTTTGTGTGGCGCTGTAGGATAAGCACTGGACTGCTTTGAGCCACAAGGTCGGTGATGCAAACCCACCAGCTGCTCCTCAGAACCCCTGTACAGGGTTGCTTTGTAGAATGTGTATTTGTGTACCCCACCTTCCAGATACTCTGATTCCAAGGGACAGACTGAAGTTTAAAATGAAAGCAAAATTGTTATAGACCCTGGAAGCCACAAGGGACTCAGACTATTTTTACCCCAGCCCTTAGAAAGTGACTGGTAGCATCTGCCTTGTTCCTCAACTGGGACAGTAAGTTCAGGGTGTGGTCCTTCCTGCAGCCTGAGGTGAGTGGTCAAAGAGACTGCAGCATTTGAGTCTTCTCTGCACTAGCATGTTGTTGTTAACAAGTGCTGTCAACTTGGTTTTGACTCACAAGTGCTGTCAACTTGGTTTTGACTCACAGTGATCCTGTATAGGGTTTCCAAGGAGTGGCTGATGGGTTTGAACCGCTAACCCTGTGGCTGACAGCCCAGTGCTTATCCTACAGTGCTACACCAGGACTCCAGTATTAGCATTGCTCTTGTTAAGGGACATCAAGTTGGTTCCAACTCATAGTGACCCTGTATAAGTTTTCCAAGGAGCGGCTGGTGGTTGTGGTTCAAACTGACCTTGTAGTCCAGTGCTTTATCCCACAGTGCCACACCAGAACCCCAGTACTAGCATATATTGTTGTTGTTACATTCCATGTAGTCGGTTCCAACTCACAGCGACCCTGTACAGGGTTTCTGAGGCTGTAAATCTTTACGGGAGCAGAAAGCCTCATCTTTCTCCCACGAAGAGCTGGTAGTTTCAAACTGCCGACCTTGTGGTTGGCAGCCCAATTTGTAACCACTACACTACCAGAGCTCCTTAGTACTAGCATATAATTGTGATAAGTGCTGAGATTGTCATTTTGGGGACAGTAGCGTCTCAGTCTCTCATTCTCTGTATTAGCCTTCTGCATTCACTTATACTAAGATGAATGGGACACCTAAGACAGGGGCCAGCTCAGACACATTCTCCGTTTGGTAGAAGTATATAAAATACATTATGCCATCGAATTAGTTCCAACTCATAGTGATCCTGTATAGGGTTTCTGAGGAATAGCTGGTAGGTTTGAACTGCTGACCTGCGTTTCGCAGTCCAGTGCTGATCTACAGTGCCACATCAGAAGTAGAAAATGTTAGTAGAAGTAGCTCCTAAAAATTTCACTTTGAAAAAGGGGAATCTGGCGTCTTTAAGTAAAGGAGAACTGTTGGTTTTGTAGACCCCTATTAATTTTTTGACCTTTGTTGTTATCAGTGTTGTGTGCTGTGGAGTCGGTTCTGACTCATAGCGACCCTGTACAGGGTTTCCGAGGCTGTAAATCTTTACGGGAACAGAAAGCCTCATCTTTCTCCCACAGAACCGCTGGTAGTTTCAAACTGCTAACTTTGAGATTAACAGCCCGATTCATAACCACTATGCTACCAGAGCTCCAGGTTCTGTTTAAATATGGTAGAGAATAAAAACAGAAGTAGTTGCATGGTATATGTCATTATCTGGAAGGAAGTCGGGAGACCTTGTTACATGATACTGGTTAGTGCTGTCGAGTTGGTTCCAACTCATAGCAATCCTCTGTAGGGTTTCTAAGGAGCTGCTGGTGGGTTTGAACCACAGGACCTTGTGGTTAACAGTGCTTGTCCTACAACAGCATGTTAAATTAAAAGATCTAATAACCCCTCCGTAGTGTAGTGGTTACGAATCGGGCTGCAAACCGTAAGGTCAGCAGTTCGAAACTACCAGCTGCTCCGCGGGAGAAAGAGGAGAGTTTCTACTCCCGTAAAGATTTACAGCCTCGGAAACTCTGTTCAGGGTCGCTGTGGGTCGGAACCAACTCGACGAACCGACTCGACGGCACTTAACAACAACAATAGTATCAACAGACTACTGAAAGGAGCCAGTAACTTAAATGTCTTATGTAACAATTAGTTTCTCAATGCTTTTTAAGGAGCCATTAATACAAATTCTAAATGATAAAAAGAAAAAGTATCAAAGTTTTATACATTCCTAGTTTGTAACTCAGAGGGCTCTCTGAGGCAGCGGCTGCGGTGGAATCCAGCCTGCACATGCACCGTCCTTGGCCCCTACAGTGTGGACAGCTTTAAGCAGGGCACGTGGCTTGCAGTCCTTCACAGGCTCACGCTGCCTCTAAGTGGTAAACTTTTTTAGTTCAAATCTGGAACCTATATGATGGCCTCAGGTCTTTGAGTTTGACGTTTGCTGCTTATTATGGAAAATACTGGCAATTTAGAAATTAGTTTTAATGGTAATTACAAATCATATTCATCAGTACCAGGAAATATAAATATAACCTAATTTTTTTTTAATTTCTAACATAAACAATCTATGTTGCTATTATATAAGAATGGTCTTATTCATCATCTCTTTTTATTTTGTAGTCATACCCCATGGTATTGCAGTATCGACCAAGAATTGACTTCGGTTAGACCAAGGGGCCTAGATCCCACTGAGAAGAATCCTGCATTTTTTTTTTTGTTTACTCCTCGACAGATTGCACAATGAACAGTGTGTGGACTAGAGGGACACAACCTGATTTTCAGCATGCAAATAAGGCCACTGTCTGTCTCTAAATTGTCAGTTGCATCTATGTTGTTTCTATTACGAGCAAACCAAGTGCCATTCTGCTGCGGAACTGTCTGCATAAGGTATCTGTGTTGTCTCACCATGTGCACCCCATAGTTGAAATCAGTTCGGTGTGCAGCCGTGACTCAGCCTTCGGAATATTTAGCTTGCCTGCACCAAGATCGTTCTAATGTTTGATTACACTAGGAAAATGGCTCCATTTTTGTGCTGTTGCAGTTGTCACATAATTACTATATTATTAATTCTTGTTTAAATAGACTACTGTACAAGAACCTACTTACTTTGTATGGGAAATGTATTCAGAAAAGTGGTTTTTGAGCCACTTTGTTATTCTTGGTAAGCTTTTTGCGTGCAAATCCTTTTACGAATAATTCCATTTATTCTTTAACATGAGAGCACATCCTAAATGTAGACATTCTAAATTATCTGTCTGTGCAGTCTGCCAATTGCACAAGGAAGGCATGCTCGCTGTACGGATGGAAAATATAGGTGACTTCTTAGAGAACTGAAGTGAAAGTCACAATCATATGAAATGTTGGCAGCTGCTCACATTGACTTCTTCTAAAATCAATGTGTGAGTAAGGTTCATCTTCGTTCATAATGCCGTACGACCAATGGGTGATTTATGGCTGCTTCATCCCACTGTTGTTCTCATTTAATGAAGATGTTTCACTTTTTAAGTTGGCCTTAGGTGTGTGTTCTTGTGGCATGTAGAAGGTTGTGATGATTTTAAATATTAGCATTTTTAGAGCAGATAACATTAGCTATTTCATGGTTTTCAGAAGTCTCAAAGCAATGATAGATTAAAACCGTTAGTTACCTATCATATTTCCAAACCATATGCATAAAATAAAATAAATGCAGTTTAGCAGAAGAATTTGCTAATGGTTTGAGGGTATTTCATCTTTGATTCTGTAGTAATCAAAGGAAACTGAGGATTATTATTGTAATATATAAATTCATTAAGATCAGATCTATAATAATGTCCTTGATTTTTGCAGTTTTTGCTAAAGTCTTCCATTCATTTTGGGGCATTTGTCTGCAAGTCAAGGAAAGTGAACCTTTAAAAATTCACAGTTGTTTTCAAAAACCTTCTTGGAAATTAAATTTAAATTGCTTTGAAATAAACAAGTTAACCTCTGAAACTTAGGAAAAAAATCTTGAACGTTAGGAAGAATAATTGCTTTAGGAATCTAACAATAGCACAAACTGTTGCACACACAGTTTTTATACTATATACACAGTAGGTGTGTGTACATTTTTGTTTAGAAAAATGTATTATAAATTAATGCTTCCTTAGAAAGAAAGCATTGCACAGCTCTAAGAAACACACACCAATACAGCTAAAATCCTGATACATTTCATAATATAAAGGCCAAAATGTCCCAAACGTCCTAATTATATCTTCATTATACCTTTTTTTTTCCAAGTCAAAAATCTTTATTAAAGCTTTCTGTTGTTCAGAACTTCGTCAAAAAAGGTTGCGACATTGCTGTCTTAAACTTGATTTTGTCAGATTGTGTTTGTTGTTGGAAGGGCTCACAAACATATTTTAAAAGGCAGATTTTTTTGTTTTTGTTTTTGTTATTAATCTAAATGGTTGGAACAGACCTTTACACTCAACCAAAAACTGAATATACTGTTTAGCTACAGAAATTGTGTTAAGCTGTGAAACCCTGTTCCCTGACATCTTAAGATATTTAATAGTTTACTATAAATTTGTCACTTGTAGGTCAGTGATTAAAGAGTGTTTTACATGTTAAAGTTAATTTAAATGAACTCAAAATGTATTAAAATTTACACTGTAAAAGACACAAATAAAAATTGGATGTTTTGGGGTCCCCAGCCAAAACTTAATAGCCTTAAGTGAGTTTTATATATAAGGGGGCTTCAACAAGTTCATCAAAAATTCCCATTATCTTTTCATTCCTATTTTTCAACGAACTTGTTGAAGGCCCCTCATACATTCATTAGCTCTCTAAATTCGGTCTGTGGCCTGGTCATATGTAGTTTTAATATTTTTCCAAGGACACAATATAGGAAGCCATTATAGAATTGGGAATAGTTTTATATAAAATTGCTTATTTAAAGTCAAAGTATTAACATTTTTATTGAAATGAATGGAATATGTGCCAAAACATGTGAAAACCATAGCTAAAGAAGAGCGTCCTTTGTCATTAGGGGAAAGATACACCTTTACAGTGGTCCTGTGAGAACCACTGCTGAGCTGCTTCAGCCATGACTTCCTACTACTATAAACATCGTTTCATGCCCAGTAATCCCCTAAATCCTCACTAATTACCACCTCAGTCCAGATGTAGAATTTGCAAGAAACTAGGTATAGAAAAAGTATACAGGCAACTTTTGTGGTTTACTTTATCAATTTAGGGTACTTAGATTCTTTATATAAATAACCCATAGGAATAGTCATCTGAGTCTGTAAAATTGGAGAATAAAACTGATTTTTTTCATTAATTTGTTGTTTCTTAAGCAATAAACTGAGAGAACTTGACACCTATAAAATATTTTGTAATCTGTCTTTATCTGCCTTAGAAACCATAAATGTAAAAGAGTCAAGGAACCTTGGTTTATAGACACTACATTAACTGAAATAAATCACACATGGAGAAATCAGAATCTGGCCTTCTCTAGATGAACAAGAAGGCTTTTAGGAAACGCGAAAGTAAAAAAAATTCATTGATATGTAATATATTAAGTTTGGGATGGAAGCAAGTTAGATTGTGTCTTTTGACTACTTTCAGAAAGTATGTTATTTCCTTATTCGTTGAAAGGCTACCCCATGTTAATATGCCACATTTTATAAACATAATGGATGTTAATTCATATTATCCATTCAGATGTAACCTAAACTTAAGTTGATTCGTTAAGAAAGAACTAAATGTGTTAGATAGTATTACAACCTGTTTAGCTTTATTGAAAATATTGAAGAGAAAGTGCCTCATTGCTAAAGTACATTTCTATTTTAGACTTACTACATACATTTTCAGTTGTCTGTACCTGTCTCCTAAGAATAGTTTCATATCTAAATCATGAACTGATGTCTTTTTGAAAGATTTACATAAGAAAATGGATATCACCAAAGACAAGCTGCTGTTAGTTTATAACTGTGTCGGAGAAACAGTTTTAAAAACTCAGAGGTTCACCAAAGAAAGACTTTACACTGAATTTTCTTGGTGAGATCAGTCAGGTGCAATAATCGGACCCTACTTCCTTTCAAATATGTTCAGTGTATTTCAGCAGCATCTGACAGATCCCGGGAAATCTCAACATTGTGAAATACAACAAACCTCCCTCTAGATCAGGAGTGGGAAACTTTATTTCTGCTGAAATTTATAATATCATTTGAGGGCCATACAAAATTATCAACATGAAAATTAGCCTGCCTTATTTGGTCAATTATTTAACTCACCCCTAACATGATGGCTGGGACTGAGGTTGCCTTAGCAGGACCAGACCAAATCATTAGGCCCATGGCTGGCTGGATGTTCCCCATCCCTGTTCTAGATGGTGGTGGTTTTGGTTAAGTGAGAGAAATACATCCTGTAAAAAAGATTGAAACTGAAATTCTGAGTTTTAATTTGAGAAACATTTTATTCCATGGAGGCATTATAAACTATAATTAGGTTTGTTCTTGGTTGCTTGGTTGTACAAAAATGTTTATTAAAGAAAGGCATTAGTAAATATGCTGATAATGCTCACTGGTATAGAAAATAGTACATTCTATTAGATGTGACAAAAGTGCTTTATCTCTGTTCAAAAGAAAACTTTTCATAAAGGGCCTGTTCTTTTGTTGTTTACCTTCAAATGTAACTCTTTGTCTCTTTCTCAGTAATCACTTCATTGTTATTAGATTTTAACCATAAAACCAAATTTTGGCAAAATGGGTCACACAGAACAAGAACATATCAAGGAGTTGATGTGCACTTTTTAGACTCTTCTCCTTAGGGCTCCATGATGCTGTGGGCCCCCCTAACTTAAACTCACAACGTCCTTCTGATTGACTCACTCGGTCAGTCTCCTTGAATGGGATAGCAATGGATGTATATCCTAGTCCTTAGTGTTAAGGGATGCTCCAGTGAGCTAAGCTTTGTACCTACCAGTAAGATGATGGTTGGTTGTAGAATTTCAAAAATGAATGAGTCTGCCATAACCTTAATATTCTCAATTAGAAACACACAAACTTGAAATGCTTTTATCATTATTGTAAGAACTATATCCCTACAGTTTTGGGTGCAATAGGAGCATAATATCTGCTAAGTCTGGTTTATTATGAAGAAATGGAAAACATTAAATACACTATAAACAAAAACTCTTTTGAAGCACAAAATAACCAACTATCTCTGGGTTTACTTGATATTCCTAGGTCAGTAGTATGTTTGATGGAAAACATCAGATTGAAAAGTCATTAAAATGTACTTAAGTACACATCACAGGGTTTTTATAGTTTTGTTTTTCTTACAGCAATGGCATTTTCCAATGAGTTAGAAGTGATTGTCTTCCTAGTGTAATATAGTTTCACAAATAGTGTGTTTATTTGCTGTCCTTACGGTATTTTGAAGTAGAATTAGAAGAGTTGAGCATTTCCTTTTCAGAAAGTTATGAGAATGAACGTAAAAGTAATTTTTTAAATGTTCATTTAAATGTGTCTGTGTACTTGTTATGCCCCCTTTTCTAAGATTCTAAACTGACTTTCAGAAATGCTTTTTAATTTTAATTGTCTTTAAATCCTAAATCAAGTGAACAAACACATATATGTCAAATCCTGAGTCTAATTTTCTTTTAGAGCTTCATGGAATGAGAAACTCATCTTAAGTATTTCTTGGTAGTATAGAGCTAATAAACAGATGAACTTATTTATTCATATGCTTCACAGCAGTCCATGGAAGCAGGACTTGTACACATTACAAATGTCATGGGATCAGCTACAATTGTTTGGAGTTGGTTTTCTTTTGCTGTATTTTTTAGAATGGGGGTGGGGGCCTAAGTGTCCTTATGAAGCTGTGGTCCAAGACAAGAGTTTGTGGGGGGAGGCCAGTGTACTGCTGCGCTCCTGCATCTCTGCAACACAACAGCATAGAAGCCCTCCCAGTAAACG